TACCAGAGTGGTATACAAAAGTAGGTAAAACAATGCAATAAATCCAAACATGTTATCAGAGCAAAGAAAAATAGCAAAAGCAATATAACTGAGAAGAGCAGCTGTCAATCAATGTTACCTGACAATATGTTTCATTTTAAAAGCAACTGACCATTTCTGAATTCCTCTTCAATTCTTAAATAAATCTTTTCTGTGGTTGCCTTGTTTGAAGGTTGGTCTCATTCATGTGCTAGATTTCTCAGCAAATGTGCTAACCCTGGGAGCTAAGGAATTCAAAAGAAGTTCTGGAAAAGAAGCCTGTTCTTTTCTGTGTATAAAAGCAGGAAGGCTGGGTTCCCACATAACCATGCGGTGAGTTATTTAGTATTCATGAAGGGTTCTTAAATATACAAATAGTGGCAGTTCCTCTGAGGAATATGATGGATCATGCCTTGCTGCCTGTCTCGATGCCTTGCAGACACAGGCATTTCTCAAAGGCAAATTTGTTACTGCCATCTTTCTGGATCCACCCAGTAACATCACCATTACCTTGGCTTTTACCCATGTACATAATTCAGACCAATCAACAGCTATGTTGCTTCTTCATCTTGTTGACCTGGATACCCTTATTTTTCTGCTTTGGTCTGTTGGCAAAAGGAAGTTTGCAGACTGAACACATGAGTTTTGGGGAGTGTGAAGGAGTTTGTTCCAGCCATGACCTGCTGATGCCTTGGGCCCTTTCTTTCTTGGCCACAACTCCCCTCCCTTTGCAAACTGCCACTTCTGTGATTATGATTGATTTTCTACTGTGTGAATAAGACTTCAGAAAAGTCTCTTTATTAACTGAATAGTGGGGACCTAGTAAAATGGTACTAATGGACCACAGGGACCAGTGCGTGGGTATGAAGGCTGCAGCCGTGGGGGCAAAATGCAATGTGAGGCTCTTTCTTACAGCCAGTGAAGCGTTGCTGCCAAAGTGACTTGTTGATCATTTCAGCTGCCATGTTTTATAAAAACATCTTTCTTCTCTCTCTCCCATCCCTGGAGTCCCTGACTGCCCTTTTGAAGCTTGTCATAATTAGGCTCAAAGCGTGGGAGGAGGCAAAGTTGGAGGGTGGTGACAGCTGCACCAATTAAGCAAATATAAACTATAAAAGAAGGGAAATTAAAGCAGGAGAGAATTGTTTTACTGGCACTTTGAGCAACATGACACCTCAGTCTTAGGAGGCCTTTAACTTCCTTTCTGTGGCTGCTCCAGGGCCAAGAATCCATCTGGAACCTCTTTCTCGTCTCCGTTTATCCTTGAGAGGAGAGAGGCTGAAGCTTTTGTCTCCTTTTCTTCTATTTGTGGGAGAAGCCAGACTTTCTTTTATCTGCTCTTGTCTCTTGTGGTGCCAAGCTTTGTGGGAGAAAACATGGAACATCACCAGCATGACTATTTTGTGTGCTTCCCAAGCTCCTCATCTGTGATTATACTGAATGTCTTAGGGGAAGGAGAAAGAATAGAATACTCCTATACTGTACTTTTGGCTTTGATGTTCTTCCGTGCTGCATGAATCTTGTCCATCTAGGACTAGAATGGATTATATAAGGCATTTGGAGTCAAATGGACAGCATGTAGAATCTTGCTTTTCACTCTGCTTCTACTCTTCCTCGCATTTTAAAAAATATTTTATAAAGCCTTCACAAATACATTGTATTGATCACCTTCATGAATGCCAGGACAGAACATGGGGGTTAAAAAACTTTTCTGCCTGCGTGTGTTCTGACCACAGATATGATTGTCTATGTATGTTATAGCCTGTATCTGTTTTTAGGAAATTCTCAAAGAAAATCCAGATTTTTTTCTAAGCTGTCATGCTCATTAACTGAAAAAATATATGTATCTCAGTAGTACAATGCACACTTTGCATGGAGAAAGTCTCAAATTCAAATTACAACTGCTTTATATAGGGTTGAGAAAGACCCGTGCCCAAACCCTTGAGAGATGCTGCCAGTCACCAAGAATGGGCAAACTATGAATGTAGTGTAATGAGTTCATGGCAATTTTATCAAATCCAGCAATTTTTCACATTTTGCGCAAGTAGGGAATCCGTTTAGACCACCCATGGAGATTGAGAGATTCCCAGGAGTGGCAATGAGGAGAAATACTAAACATTGCCCTTCCCTGTCTTCTCAATGATTTCCTGAGAATCTTAAGTTTGACAGTCCTATGCTGCTTGAGCCTGATATATTATTGAGCATGTGTGGAACACTCTTACCAGAAAAGAGTTCCAAACTGCCTCTCACACTTGTTGAACTGCCGTGACAATTGCTTTGTGTTTGAATGAGAAGTGATAAAAAAGGCGTCAGCTTCTGGGATTTCCCCTTGATTGATGTCACTTTGTGAATGGTTTTGAGCACAAGAGGGTATCCTGTGTTGGCCATCTTGTTTGTTGCTGTTGATAATTCAGGCTGCCCTTTGCTATGCAAAGCTTGGTACCTTTTTTCCTGCCTGTAATGCAGGGATGATATTATGCAGCAATACTGGGCCATTTCCTAGAATCTTGAATGCATTTTGAATTGTGGATGTTGTTGTTTGTTGTTTAGTCATTAAGTTGTGCCCTCCTGTCTTCCACTGCCTCCCAGAGTTTGGTCAGATTCATGTTGGTAGCTTCAATGACACTGTCCATCCGTCCTCTGTCATCCCCTTCTCCTCTTGTCTTCACACTTTCCCAATATCAGGGTCTTTTCCAGGGAATCTTCTCTTCTCATGAGATGGCCAAAGTATTGGAGCTTCAGCTTCAGGATCTGTCCTTCCAGTGTGCGTTCAGGGTTGATTTCCTTCAAAATGGATAGGTTTGTTCTCCTTGCAGTCCAGGGGACTCTCAAGAGTCTCCCCCAGTACCACAGTTCAAAAGCACCAATTCTTTGGCGGGTCAGCCTTCTTTGTGGTCCAGCTCTCACTTCCATACATCACTATTGGAAAACCATAGCTTGGACTATGTGAACCTTTGTCGGCAAGGTGATGTCTCTGCTTTTTAAGATGCTGTCTAGGTTTGTAATCACTTTCCTCCCAAGAAGCAGGCATCTTTTAATTTCGTGGCTGTTGTCACAAATCTGCAGCGAGCATGGAGCACAGGAAGGTAAAGTCACTGCCTCCATATCTTCCCCTTCTATTTGCCATGAGGTGTTGGGGCCAGTGGCCATGATCTTAGTTTTTTTATGTTGAGCTTCAGACCATTTTTTGCACTCTCCTCTTTCACCCTCATTAAGAAGTTCTTTACTTCCTCCTCACTTTCTGCCATCAGAGTGGTATCATCTGCATATCGGAGGTTGTTGATTTTTCCCCCAGCAATCTTAATTCCAGCTTGAGGTTCCTCCAGTCCAGCCTTTTGCATGATGTAGTCTGCATATAAGTTAAATAAGCAGAGAGACAATATACAGCCTTGTCATACTCCTTTCCCAATTTTGAACCAATGAGTTGTTCCATGTCCAGTTCTAACTGTTCCTTCCTGTCCCACATATAAATTTCTCAGGAGGATGGTCAGGCACTCCCAATCCTTTAAGAACTTGCCATAGTTTGCTGTGGTCCACACAGTCAAAGGCTTTCACATAGTCAATGAAGCAGAAGTAGATGTTTTTCTGGAACTCTCTGGCTTTCTCCATAATCCAGCACATGTTAGCAATTTGGTCTCTAGTTCCTCTGCCCCTTCGAAATCCAGCGTCTACTTCTGGGAGTTCTCAGTCCACATACTGCTGAAGCCTATTTTGTAGGATTTTGAACATAACCTTTCTAGCGTGTGAAATGAGTGTAATTGTACGGTAGTTGGAGCATTCTTTGGCACTGCCCTTCTTTGGGATTGGGATGTAGACTGATCCTTTCCAGTTCTCTGGCTACTGCTGAGTTTCCAAAACTTGCTGGCATATTGAGTGTAGCATCTTAACAGCATCATCTTTTAAGATTTTAAATAGTTCAACTGGAACACCATCACATCCAATGGCCTTGCTGTTAGCCATGCTTTCTAAAGCCCACTTGACTTCACTCTCCAGGATGTTTGGCTCAAGGTCAGCAAACACACTATCTGGGTTGTCCAGCACATCCAGATCTTTCTGGTCTAATTCCTCTGTGTATTCTTGCCACCTCTTCTTGATGTCTTCTGCTTCTGTGAGGACTCTACTATTTTTGTCCTTTATCATATCCATCTTTGCACAAAATGTTCCTTTAATATCTCCAATATTTTTAAACTGATCTCTGTTTTTCCCCTTTCTATTATTTTCCTCTATATTTTAGCACTGTTCATTTAAGAAGGTCCTCTTGTCTCTCCTTGCTATTCTTTGGAAGTCAGCATTCAATTTTCCATATGTTTCCCTATCTCTCTTGTATTTTGTCTCCTTTCTCTTCTCTTCTATTTGTAAGGCCTCATTGGACAGCCACTTTGCTTTCTTACATTTCCTTTTCTTTGGGATGGTTTTGTTGCACCAAATCTAGTTCCTTAAATCTGTTCTTCACTTCCACTGTGTATTCATAAGTGATTTGGTTTAGATTACCTGACTAACCCAGTGGGTTTTTCTGCTTTCTTCAGTTTAAGCTTGAGTTTTGCTATAAGACTCTGATGATCAGAGCCACAATCAGCTCCAGGTCTTATTTTTGCTGACTATATAGAGCTTTTATACATTTATATTGCACCATACATTTGTATAAGAGCAATATGAAACTGGCAGATTTATTTTTGATCCCTTTTCTAATTAGGCATAAAATGGTGTTTGTCTTTTGTGCATCAGCCAAACACTGGATTAACATTTTTATCAGCTTATTCGAAAACCATCCAGGAGGACATGATCCCATTGCTTGTTCTTATTCCAATTATCATTGAGCTTCTGCTTCTACCGTTTTTATAAGGGAAGACAAACCTCATTTAGTTATTGCCTTATAGGGCAGTCCATTACAGATGAGATGCTTAAAAGTTAGTACATGGTTGGTAGATGTCTATGACTTGTTCTCCAGTTTAATATTGGGATTCTTTTCTTTTCATCCACAGATTCCTCAGATAAGTTATGCTTCCACTGCTCCTGACTTAAGTGACAACAGCAGATATGACTTCTTTTCCCGCGTTGTCCCCTCGGATACCTACCAGGCCCAGGCGATGGTGGATATAGTCAAAGCATTTAAGTGGAATTATGTTTCAACCTTAGCTTCTGAAGGCAGCTATGGCGAGAGTGGAGTGGAGGCCTTCATCCAGAAATCCAGAGAGAATGGTAAGTACATGTCCATTCCTATAGACACATGAGGTATGAGGCAAGCGACAATGTATGATAGTACTTGGAATTGTAGGTAAATGATAGCTACTCCTTACGACAGAATGAGATATAGCCACAGTGCTAAGAATCATCAGTGAAGGATAATGGGCTATCTTGATATACTGTACATTGATGGATTTATCTTTCAGCTTATGTATTTGGTCAGGAAGCCATAGAATGTGATTACAGAACTCTGTTGTGACACATCAGTATCCATTGTATTGGAAGAAATAACTGGGGCTACATTGTCTATAAATTGAAAAAGTATGAAGAAGACAAAGAAGCTATTGCCATTGGTTAATGTTGTCTTGGGAAGAGTACTGTATTCTGGAGGTTCATACTTCTTGAATTACATGCTAAGTGCTGCCATGAGGCACATGTGATAGGGATGATCAGTGCATAGTAAATCATGTGACAAGTGGATGCCTGCTGCATTTTCATATTCACACTGACTGAATGAAATACCAGTGGCCACTGGCCTTCACAACAGATTGGGAAGACTCATTGGCTCAGAGAAGAGATGCGGCATATGTCTGGGCATAATTTCCTGATCCAGTGGTAAAACTGTGACCAGTATCCTGTTGGAGACACTGAGTGCAAATAGTGGGCAGTGGTTTGTCAGCTGTCGCTTGGCCATCCTTTGGTTTCATAATTGGTTGGATGATGGACAGTGTACCAAAAGAGTAGACTACTTATACAATTGTCCTTAACGCACATGGCAAAACTCAATAGGATCCTGACTTGTATATTCAGTGCCGATGGTAAGTGTTTGGAATGCCAATATGAGGGAGGGCAGAAATATGTTTGGAATTTGAGAAGCATGTCTTGCACTTCCCAAGCATAAAGACTGTTTCTTCGTTTTTGTTAGTGTCCATCTCACCGTAATTCTGGACAGAACTGTATTTGCATAAATTATGGCCAAGGGTTCTAATGGGAAGAGTAGCAACACTCAGCTAATTTCCACCTCTTCCAGACAATCCATCCCTGAAATGTTGCCCATGAAGGTTCATTCCAAACCATGGCTCACCTTCAATCTTGTTTAGTCTCACTTCTCCATCTGCAATCATAACCAATCCAGAGGCAATCCTAATGGGCACAGCACAAACTATACAAGTGAAGCATTTGCTCTAAATCTGTGTAAATCAGTGTTAAACTGGAACCATGTGAAATCACTTTTCCTTGCCACATTCTCCTATCTGCGTTCTTGTGGCTTTAATAGCAGTCTCTGAAGCGTGAATGTAACAGGTCAGACTTCTCACACCATTTACCTCCATTCCAGGAAAACAGTCATCTGATAAATCTGTGCATGTCAGATTGCTGGGAAAGTTACAGGAGCAAGGCCAGTGCGGAAAGCGTCATCTCCAGCCTTCAGTATCAAAAGGGGCTGACAAGAGTGGTGCTGAAGTCCTTCTCAGCTTCCAAAGATTCATCTATAAAGCTCAAGATTGGGTCCTTGGAAGCCTTCCACAGCTGATGGCGTTCAGATCAGTGTTTCTGTGGTTTGTTCTTCATTCCCCATCTGCCAGAATAGCCAACAAGGTTACATCTGCCAGACTTGAACAAAAGCCACTGTGTTTATACAGCACATCAATCTCATTGTAATTGCTTATTTCAAAGGACCACGTAGTGTCCAAATGTTAGACACTGATAATACCCTGCAGATATAATCCTGCTATAAATCTTGCCTAAGCTCTTTTAATTGCATAGCCTAGGCTGAATACATTATTGCAACTGTTTGCAGAGGAGTAGCAGTTTGCAGGGCACTGCAGATAGACAGGGAAGGGTGCTATGGTTTGGGTGCTAAGATTTGGCCTAGACATCCTGTATAAGAAGACATGGATTACACCCAGAAGAAGTTCTTATTGAAAGCAAAATGATAAGAGGAAGCATTTCTCCCAAGTCCCAAATGAGGTTCTCTCAGTGTGAATAAGCCCTCCTTGAAGAGTCATGGGCAGCTGCCAGGGAAAGGGTGTGAGCTCAACCTCTCTGAATATGTGACCTTACCGGCCAGCCAGCAGAATAAAGAGCCAGCATAAACATGACAACTAAGTACTTTGTCAACGGCAGAGAGAATAAATGCTGGGAGACAATATTAGCCATTCTCTTGATCTGGAAGGGTCACTGTGAACAGATTTGGGAACTATTAATGCTATTGTACTATGCCATCCTTTTGAAAATTAGGGATTGCTCCCATTATTCGTAGCATAAGAGCTTGGAACAGCTCCTTTTCTTTCTTTTCTTTTCCTTCCCCCCCACTTTTCTATAACTTCTGGCACTCCATGTTGAACCCCAATTGCCATATAATTCAAACATTTATGTCTCTTTTGTATCATAGCCTAACTTGAGCCAAAAATGGCAGATATGTCATGGTAAAAGAATACAAGCATAGGCACCTGATGGATGTCCAGTCCAATTGCTTCTTATGCATTGTCCTGTTCCCAGAAAAACTGAGGGATGTTCGGGCTGGAACTGAACATCTGGAAAGCCCTAATATACTGTTTGCAACTTCTTTCCCTTTGTACCTTAAAACAGCATGCAGACAACATCATTCTAATATTAGGCTCCCCCAAACCAATTTTTGGTGATACCACGCCCAACAAAGACATTTTTATTCTGAAAGGCATGAGTGGAGAATGTTGTGCCTTTTTAGTTGGCCCTGTTAAAGTAGCATCACAGTGTGCATTTTGGAATTTGTCTCATGGCTAACACACCTTCCCCTTCACCCTGATGAATGTGAATCCTTACTGCACCAGCAGATGGCACTTCAGCACTTGCTGTGTAATCCCTCTGATTTGCATAGGGGGTGAATTTAACATGTTTCTGAACATCTCAAACAACTTCTGTAGCCCGGACAAGTGGCGTGCACGGTACTTCAGTAGGTATACCATTGGCTGGACACAGGTTTCCCACCTCTCAATGGACATAGATTTTGTGGTTTTATGAATCCTGGCAGGCAAAAAACCAGGATGTGAAACTATTTTCATCACTGTTTCTTCTTACTAAGAAAACCATGAGATGTTGTCTGCCTGTTCTGTAGAAGCTAAAAGTGCACTGTGGAGCTTCTGTCCATTCAAAAGATGACTGTATTCCAGTCATCTGTGCCATATTACCAGCAGTCTTTTAACACCAGCTCTTCATGTGCCACGTATAAAGCTAAATGAACATCCTGCCTGGTTGGGCAAAGAACATTAATAAAGGAACAATTGTAGGCATAGGATGAGATGGGGTGGTTGTATTCACTTTCAGTGCCTCGGAATATTTAACATTATAGGCAGGACCTATGGCTCACCATCTAACATGCACCAGGAGGCAATATTTGCAGTCTGAATAAAAATGTTGCTTTTTCGTAGCTCCCAGTCTTCTGCTCCTTTGGATTCTTCTATAGAAGCTCCCTTGTAGAACCTCCAGACTCTTCTTGTTCTCTGTGGTGCCTATGTGAAAAAGCTTCCTATTCTTCTCTAAGTTTGAGCCATATCCATAAGTCCATTATGAAGAGAATTATTGCAATATAGACTCATCTTTGACTTTTTTCCATGTTGATCCCTCTTGGTAACTGTTCATCACATCTGGCATTGCAAACACATCTGTTGCAATGCCAACACAATCTGTAGGGGTAGCAGCACACTTTGGGCCCATAAAAAACATCTGTTTCTCCTTTGCTACTCTTCTTTCTTTTAGTATTTACTTTGGCTTCCTCCCAGAGACAAGTTTAATGTATATTCTGAGCCTGAATCAAGAACTTGGAAAGTTGCCATTGGAATGCATCAGTAAAGTGGGTCTTTTCTTTCATAAGCTGGCTCTTCTTCTTCCAGAACCAGCCAAACAGCCACTTTGTAGATTCTGTTTTCAGAGCCAGTTTCCAGTTTTTATCTTAGTTTCCAGGGTGATGCGCTGTTCTGTTCTCTAGAGATTGCCTACAGACTGGAAACATTGTCTAACAACTGGGGAGGACAATGCATCTCTGTGTGCACTATGCCTTGTGAAATATTGCCTCCAGACCAACCAGGGTGAAAGGAAAATATTGTAGGAAACTTACCTTATAGTGAGTCAGACTGTTGGTCCTCTAGTCCTTTGGCTAACAGCAATGACAGTTCAGGGTGTCATGTTGGATTCTTTCCTAGCACTACCTGTAAATCTTTGGTGCTTTCCATCCAAGAACTGTCCAAGCTTGGCTCTGCTTAGCTTCTGAAATCAGTGGAGATTGGAGGTATTCAGCTTGCTCTCCCTTTATGCTTGCTCTCCCTTTATGTGAAGTTCCTTTGTGAAGAGAAGCTCAGGCACTCTCTTGTTCTTTATCCTTGTCTCCTCTCCAAAATCTAGGGGGCTGCAAAGACTACATTGAGGGAAGAGGGTGCTTTCTCTCTTGCTCCCTCGTAACATTCCCCTGTGCAGTATATTGGAGATCATACTGCACTTGGGTGTGAAACAGATTAAGTACTCCCTTACATGGCTCAAACTTTGCCATCACAGGGAAGAAAAGCATATACTGTACATTCAGGAGACTCAACATAAGGCTTATGAATCTTGGGTTGCTTTTGCTCTTGCAAAATAAACTGCTGATAAATTTCCAAAGAACTCACTAACAGTATGAAAATGGATTTCTCACCCATCTTTAATTTTAGGAAATGAAAGGAAGAGAAAAGGGGAGAGATGAGGAGGGAAGGGAGAGGAGAAGCCATTTCTCTAGTTCTCCAAATTGAAAACTGAATTGAAAGGCTGCGCGATGCTGCTGACGTCCCCTTGCAGCCTAATCCTTCTGAAAGATTAAAGATGTCTTTGGCCATATATTGTATTGATTCATTCTCCGAAGTATAAATCATTTGTTCGCCAGCAAGCTGACAACCGACCAGTGCTTACAGGTGAATGTTTAAGGAAAAGAAATCTCTCTCTCTCTCTCTCTGTATGAGTATGTGTTTCATCACTTATAAATGCCATCATGGCAGGTAATAACAAAGGCA